TATATATAGATTTACGCTTTATTTATATTTATACTTATAATTACATTTATATATTTATATATTTATGCTTATATTTATATATTTATATTTATATTTATATATTTATATTTATAATTATATTCATTTTCATATTTATATTTTTTTTCATATACGATGTATGGCCGTTAACACACTGATATACAGGCAACGATGATGGCGATGAAGATGCCCATGATGTCCTTTTAGGTCCAACAATATGTGACGAAACGGCAATGAACGAACGCTTTGCGCGTTTCGAGAGCTTCCGTAAAAACTTACTGGCCCAACCGTGGGTTTTATGAATTCAGCATACCTTCGTTTCCTCTCTTCCCACTCCTGCCTCTTCAGCAAGTACCAAATTGACCAATGAACTTTCATCGTTTCCTTTTTTTCCCATTCCCCTTCATCTCCAGTTTCCTCCTTATTGGTCTCCTTCCGCGTCATCCTTCCTTCCTCCATCATCTCACCACCTCTCCGTTCATTTTCTGATTTTTAAAGTAGGAAATGAACATAATGTGTGAAAATTTTTGGATACGCTTCAAGAATAATTGGTTTGAAACTTTTTCGCTTTGAGATGTGCCAAATATATGCAGCTAAATAGTACTGGTAAAAATTGTTTTAGTAACTGTTATGGGAAAATGGGAACAACTCTCAGAGCACAACCTTTGGGTTGCAAGATGTTTTGAAGTTTTGAGTCTCTATAACTGCAGTGTAATTTACATTTGTTTCTTAATGTTTTAATACTTAAGCGTAATTGGGATTTGCTGCCAGTCATAGGTTTTTGGTAGACAGTCTAAATGTATATAAATATATACATAACTTTTTTTTGCAGAAGAATTGGCGTTTCTGAAAACGTTAGCATCTTACATAGCCAACGGTTATGCGGCTAACGGTTTGCAACTGTATTAGGCGAACAGGCGGTTGGTTAAGTAACAAAACAGGATTTGGTCCCTATCGACTTCACAGAAAGGGGGTGTTTTTTGTCGGCACGGAACCACACGTTTTGAAGTACCATTTGGTAGGTTTAGAAGACTTTTCATTTTCAAGTCATTCTCTTCTATTTATCAGTCCATTTTTCTTTAATTATGGTGGTTACTTAAGCATTGAATCTTTTAACTGTGTTGTTTTACATGATGTAATTGTATGTGATCAGTTTTGCACTTTTTTTTTAGAGCATGACTTCACTTTTCGGAAATTAGCGTTTGTTACTCACGTATCTTGTGTCACTAATATTTCATTGTTACAGTTGCAAGATAAAAAACCGTCTCATAATTATGGATTGCAAGGGACAAATCATCTTTTACCTGGCAAGGGCAGAGTTGCTGGTAATTTACCAACAAAAGTGCTGATGAAGAAAGATAAGATTTATCCGTGGTGCGCGTGTGGTTACAGTGGCAACCAGGTTCAGTTTTATGTCTTTTGTTCTTTTCAGGCATTTTTTACTCTTCTGTTATTTAATTTCCTTGCGTGTATTATACGTTTTTTAGTGTTTATTGTTCGAAAACCTTTGGAGTTTAACTTGCTAACGCTCTTTCCGATTTTTTAGCCGCTTTGTGATGGCAACCATAATTCTTTTAATACGCCAGACTTGAAATTAAAGCCAGTGCGGTATATTCCAGACCAGGACAAGGAAGTAAGTTGATTTTATGTCTTAGTATGAACGTTGCGGAAAGTGCCGTAAAATATTGCTCTCCTTACCACACAGCAGGATTTTAATTTGTTTAATGTGCAAAATTACGCGAAGGGTGAGTAGTGACATGCAGCGTGAATTTTTTAGCTTTTATATATTCTATAGCTAACCTGCAGGTATGGTTATGCAATTGCAAACAGACGAAAAATAGACCGTTTTGTGATGGATCTCATAAAGATTGTGAGAAGATTGACTCACCAATACCACTCTTTGATTAAACAAGTGTATAATATTATTTCACGCGGCGTATTTATAATGCTTATAGTCACTTTTGGAAGCTGAACGTTTTGTAAGCATTTGTTGTCGTTTAAGGTACTGTTCCTGATTTCATCCATTTTTTAGCTGGACTTTGTGGTAAACCTATTTTTTTCTACTTGAATTATTTCATTTTTTTCAGCTTAGAATGGGTTTTGATTTATGAACGAAAGCAAGTTCTGAAAGATTTCGATTTCTTCTTCACTATTTTCTTAATAAGATTGAGATGAAGAGATATATCATTTGCTGCGGGAGCACCTTCAAATTTTTCGACTAACTTGAATGCAAAATTCAAATGAGTAAATTATAATCGCCGTCTTTTCACTCGATGAGTTTCTTTTTGAGAAACTATTTTTATTTGTAATGCTTTCCGTGGAGTTAACAAGGATTGAAGGTTGAATTGAAAATATTAGTTTATTTTATTCTTAGCTTTCCTTATAAGTAATGTATGGATTTTTTGATTAGTATTTTACTCTAGTACAGGATGCATATTTTTTATGTTGATACTTTAACTCAGAAAGTTTTGTTATCTTTTATTTGTTTTAAAAAGTATGAAGTTCAAGAAGCTGATGTTTGTTGTTATACTGTATTATTTGCAGATTATTAATCAGGTTTCATTGTTACATGTAACTAGGCGTAGATATTAGTTAATTGGTTTGTTGAGTCGTTTTTGAAATGAAGTTCTTTGGTCAAAAACATTGCTGTTGAAAAAATTTCATCACTAATGGGTTTGCTCGGCAGGTAAATTATTGGTGCTGAAGAAAAAAAGGAAAAACAGAATAAACCATTATAATTTTAGTGCCGTCACAGCAACATTTTGAATTCTAGAAGACGATTTCAGTTTGTTTTTTTTTTTCTTTTGAAAAGTTGGGTTTTTTAACATCGATTGGCGGAGAAGTTAAGGTAAATTTGCTGAGTTTTTGGGTTTGTAATTTTTTGCTTTTAGATTGAAATCTCTCGCAAATAAATCAATGTGCTTTTACTGATGTTTACAGTTATTTTTCTTCTAGCTCAAGCTTTGCTCTTTGAAGCAGTGGTTAGCAGGATAGAATCTGCTGTGGAAAATGCATTTAGGTTAATGATAGCGACAATAGTTGGTGACAGTCTTGAAAGAAATTGAGTTTGGTAGTCCCGCCCTGGTGTTATTTGGCTGGGGGACGGAAGGGAGGGTGGAGCATCTGTAATTCAAGGATTACTTTGGAAGCAAAAGTTATTCATCAGGTTGCATCCGGATTGCTAAAAGGGAAAATCTGCTGTGATTTGAATTGTATTTTGTTCACAGCAACAGTGTGAAATCGGGTAGATTCCGGTAATAACGGTGAAGTAGAGGAGTGTACGGTTTGGTGTTAACTGCAACCGTTGACAACCGCATTTTGCTCTCAGACTCTGAAGTGAGAAGTTTTTCAAAGGATCCTTTTTCAAATCCGAAATTAAAAGGTTGTTGGTGACGTCAGAGAAAAGTACGGTTAGCCATCCAGTTTTTAAGGACGAAGAAAGATAAGCTAGAACGAATGGGTAAATTTCTATACGTTTTTAACTTCCCCAAAAAGTATTGTTAACAGTGGTGTTTTAGAAGTCTACTTCAAAAATTAAATATTCAAGGTAAAGGAATTCACTGTTAGAACATTGTTGTCTGATATCCGATGCTAATTTCGGAAGAATAGAAGAAGAAGAACAAGAGAAAATTATTTTGGAATTTAACGTGTTATTAAGTCTGTTGACGAGTTTGAGAGAAAATTTTGGATGGATCATACAATGCAAGATCGAGACTAACGTTTGTATGGTTTTTATTGTGTTTTGTGGGAGAGAGCTATTACTATTGTTGGAGGGCTGAGCACAAATCGTTTTTCATCGTCAAACAATCAGCACTGTTGGCGTTGTTAAAATAATGATTTTTGCAGAAAAATTCCCGTTGAGTGAGGTGCAGTTAAAATTTGTTGTGCAACATTACTTCCACTGTTTAAAACTAAGCTGAATTATGCAATCAACCTAGTCCAGAATAACTCAAGCACAAGCAGAGCAATGAAAAAATTTTTTTTAACAGACAAAATATATAACGGCTTCAAAATGATACAACGGATACAGTTCCGTAAAAGTACACGTCTGACTGCTTTATCTACTGCTGTTGATTTATATAGTAATGATAAGAAAATTGCTATTAAAATTGATCAACCTGTTATTTTTTTTAACAGTATAGCAGATGAAGAAGACTCTGTTTAAGTATCTTTTGGTACAGTTGACCGGCACTATTTGAAACTTAAAAAAAAAAAAATGAATTGAGCAAAAGCTTAAGTTAGCTGAGTACGGTATTGTACAGAAAATTTTAACAGGGCCTTGGAGGTGCAGTCTTTTTGCTGTTGTATTCTGTTGAGAAAATGTTAAATATGTTTTGTGTATTTTAAAAAGAAATAAATTTTTGTTGTTGGTTGTAGTCATTACATTGTTTCAGCACTTAATGGAGGCTGATTCAGACGCATTACAGCTCTGGAAAGCAGTTAGCAAGTAAATAATCTTCAAATTTTAGTTTACTGTTTGATATTGTTGTGATTTTCAAAACAGGCAACAACGGTAATCTGAAGTTTTTTGCTCTTTTCAACATTCGAATCTTACCGTTGATTTTCAAATATGAGATATCTTATGTGTATTGGGGTTCTTATGTATCTGTGTTTCAGTGAATTTTTATCTCTCTGTCTGTACGTTAGTGTATGTGTATGCGTATTTTTTGAAATATGCAGTGAAACTCTTCAGTGAATCAATTAGTTAGTTGGTTAGTTCGTCAGTTAGTTAGTTATTTAGTCAGCCAGTCAGTTAAAATCAGTTGATTGTTGGTATCAAAATCTGTGTAACACGTCATCAGATGAACAGTTCCAAACTTTGTTCATTTTTCATTTTTATCTTCTCAGCAAATGCGTTGTATTATAGTGTTCAATTATTTCTTATTTTCACATATACATGTTACTTTTAGAAGTTTTTTCTTAACGGTTCCGCACCAGCAAAATTGCGTTGATAAAAGAAGAAACTGTTAAATAAAATTGTCTATTTTTTTAAGCTTTTTTTAATTTTTTCACATTTTATCAGTTGTCGACGATTATTGTTGTGTTGATGAAAGATATCAGTTGAATGAATAGATAAATGACTTATTAATAAAAAAATTGATCTTTCTAGCAGTGTTTTTAGCTTATATAACATAAATCAATTTTGGTAGATATTTAGTTGAAAAAAGAACATTTTTATGATACATTTTTATTTATTGGTTTGTTGATTTGAAAGACTTAAATTGAAATTTTTTTTTT